CTCTATCACTTCTAAGCAAATGGCTCTTTAATCTGTATCCAGCCCTGACACCTCCCCCAAGCTCTTTTTCCCCCCAGCTTCTTCCTGGACATCCCTACCTGTTCACTTCTGGCACCCTCCTCAACTGCAACCTGTCAAAAAGTGATCTCATTGTTTCCTTCTCCCACCAAGCTGTCATGCTTGCAATGTGCTCCTCCTCTGGGGCCTTTCCAGGTCAAGTCCTGCTTTGCCCACTTTCCCTCTCAGATTTCTCCCATTTGTCCCTTTTCCATCCTCACCATTGTTGCTCAAATGTAGACCTTCACAGTCCTCTGCCTGAATTATTGCTGCAACTTCCTGGCTGGGCTCCTGTAGACTGCGTCTTCCTGTCCAATCCACTTCCTGGCCTGCATCCAGATTAACTTTCCTGTAGTACTTCATGGATTGTGTCACTTCTTTGCTTTTAAAAAAAAAAAATTAAGCCTTTCTTGGCCTCTTGCTGCTCACACAGTACAATCTCAATTCCCAAACCTGGATTCAGGACCTTTACAATCTAGCCCCCAATTCCCACGCAACTATTTCTCAGTTTCATGAGCTGTATTTCCCTTATGTTTGCTGCTCTCCAGGCCGGCTCAGTGCTTTTCCACATTCTCAGCTTCTCACATCTTGCTTCCTCTTTTAAGAATCTCTTTTTCAATTTTTGCTTGATCTCAAATTGGGCATCCTTCAAGGCCTACCTCAAATTATCTACTCCTCTAAGAAACCATTTTTTGTTTTATCCCTTCTAACACTGCATGGGAGTCATCCCCCTTTCCTTTGACCTCTCATAGCCCCTTATACTATCTTATCTCACACATGTAATTTTCTTCTTTACATTAAACTTATCTATATGCATGTGCCTTAGTTTTAGAGCAGCAGCTCAGCTCCCTTGACTCATCTTTCCGTTCTCCACAGGCCAATCCCAGAGCATCCCTATGTTCATTGTATAATAGGTGCTCAGAAAATATTTGTTAGATGGATGGATGACACAATGAGTGAGGAGTGGGTGTGTAGAAGGACAGCTAAGCATTTGTCTCTCAGGCTAAGCTAAGTGGGTATCCAGCTTGACAGTGGCTATTAATAAAGTAAAAATGAGGAGTGAAAAGGTGCTAACAACTCACCAGCTATGTACTAGGATTTATCCCAGTCCTCAGTGCCTGAGAGAAAAGCATTATAAGGGCTAAAAAAGCAGGAGGAGGAGGATACTCTGGAATGGAATCTTCTCATGGGCACCAGATACTGAGTGTGACTCTGATAGTCACTGTTTTGTCTTGGAGATGCCATATAGTTGAGAAATCTGGGAAATTCTAGACTGTCTCCTCTGTGCACATGACAGTACTAGTCTGTACTAGTCAGTACTCGTCAGGTACTGTAAATCATGCTGATACTGAACACCCAGTCATTTTTAGCGCCATGACTCCACACAAAGATTTCACTTCCTTGAACTTTAGTTTTCTCATCTTCAGAACATTGAAACATTTCAGGGTTGTTGAAACAAAGTCCCCCTTGTAAGGTACTCTTCACAGTACCTGGCAAGCAGTGAGTGTTCCAAAAACGATAGCTGTTATTCCTGCTGCCCTCCAGAAATGAATAGTTAGTCTAGTTGGGAGGGCAAGTACTTGGTTTTCTAAGATACTAAGTTCCTTGGTTTTCTTTTTAAGTCCTGTTGAAATTAGAATAAGGTTTATCAATGAGGACTAGCATAAAAATGACCTGGTAAACACATCAAATTCCCTCTGTCTTCACGAGGGAAAGAGAGAATTGTCATCAAGCACCAGCCTAAGACTGAGCCCCATGAGTATAAGACATGCCTTCTTGCCAATTCTGATACCAGCCTCTCATATTATTGTCTATTTCTCTGCTGGGTTCTTTAATTTTTATCATTTATTGCAATGACCACACAGAACTCATGGAAAAATACTCATGATTATGGTACTTATTAAGGAAATCCTAAGGTACAATTTAGGATCAAGAATGACTCAGGATGCAACCTAACCAACTCAAGTTGCTTAAGAAAACTTCTCAGCTATGCCCAAAAGTAGGCTGCTTCCTGTCCTTCGGCCTCTCAGTCCTCTACTCCCAGTGCTTCAGGCCTCTTGAACCACCCTCCACCTTGCTTGGCCAAGTGTTACTAAGCTTCACTGTTAAGTGCAGATATATACCACTCTGCCTGCAAGCCTCCTACACAAAGGCCCTAGGCTTTCATTTTATGAGCTGAGAAGCCTACATCCTGCCAATTTCCTGGATCTGCTGCTGCCAATTTTCACCTCTGCTTGCCTCTGTTTCTGTGTTTGTTTACAATGTTACAGCTCTGTCCCCTGGGTCTAGAAAGTTCTTAGCATAGGGACCCCAAGTCCAAAGAACATGCTCCAGTCTCAGCTCTTCTTTGTTGGTTGTAGTGAGGCCCCATTTTTTTACCTCTAAGATTGGTCATTTTAAGCCTAGCAGGATGACAAGACTGACATAACTCCTCATTAGGGTTCCATACACATTATTTTCATGGCTCTATCCCTGTTTCTATTTGTACTTTCTCTACCCTTACTTCTGATTGCTGCAGAAGATCAAAGAATGCAGCCTTCAGTATGGATTGTCTTTCAATATCAAGAAAACAAAGATTCTTACCACTAGACCAATAGCCAGTGTCATGATGGACGGAGAGGAGATTGAAACAATGGCTTCATCTTGCTTGGATTCACGATTAATACCCTTGGTACGAGCAGTCAAAAAATAAGGAGACGCATTGCACTGGGAAAATCTGCAGTTATGGACCTTTTCAAATTATTGAGGAGTAATGATGTCAGTTTGAGGACCAAGGTGTGTCTGATTCAGGCCATAGTCTTTCCACATGAGGATGGCGCAGGACAGGACAGGGTTCTGATCTTTTGTTCATAGGGTTGCTACAACTCAGTGAAGCCTAACAACAACCACCCCTGCAAAGGTGCCATGCACCCTGTTTGCATTATTAGCAAGCTGCCCAAATTTTTTTTCATTTATTTTATTATTTTTTGTGTGTGTACCGTCAAATTGGATCTGACTGGTACAGGAGGTGATTGCCCCTCCTTCTCCAGCAGAGCATCTGGTGGATTTGAACTGCGTACCTGTAGGATTGCAGTGTAGCTTCTTGACACTAGGCTACCAGAGCTCTACCAAATTTTTTTAATAGACCAGAACACTTTAATTGTATAGCTCCACCAGTCATTTGGTAGGAACCAGAAGACTTAAGGTCTTGCCACAGTATTGCAGCTAGGATGGCAGGGGAGGCCTCCAGATGAAGGAGCTGTTTCAGATAGACTTTTTAAAAGGATGAGTGGAGTCTGGGAGGCAGAGAGGTGGACACAGAATAATAAATAGCATGTATGCAAATGGAGAGAAGTAGGAGTGAGGGCTGCCTGTATAGAGAGTGGGTGGTTTTAGTGAGCAGTGGATGAGAGACAGTGAGCCTTATACAATAGCATTATACAAAGCAGCAGGTGAAAAGATTAGGAACACCAGTGATTTCAGCCTTTCAGGACCTCTGTAAGTTACAGAATAGTCCTGTTAGCCCCATAGTCCTTAGGAAGTTAGAAATAATAATAATAGCTAACACTGTCGAAATCCCAGAGAATAATACTCAGAACAGCCCTATGACACGATTCACTGCCTCCATATTAAAGACGAGAAACTCGAGCCACTGTGTGAGGTCACACAGTCTATGTGCAGCAGACTCAGTAGTCGTGCCCAGGGACTCTGTAAGGGCATGTTCTTCCACACTATGCTGTGTGCCTCCTTCTTGTGCCTTTTGTAGCTCACAGCTTTCTTCTCTCTATGGTTTACAGCTTCATGGCTATCATCACACTCAACAGCCAGGAATTCATGGAATGACCATTGTGTGTCTGGGAGAGAGAGAGAGACAGAGAGAGCAAGAGAGAGAGAGAGAGAGAGAGAGAGAGAGAGTGTGTGTGTAGGCAAGGGGCACAAAAAGGATGGAGGAACTTCTGAGAGAGTTGATGGAGATGCAAGGGCTGTGTCCCTTGGGAAATCACAATCTAACACAGCAGAAGAGATTAAAAAGAGCAGAGCCAGGTGAGCTGGGTCCACGCTGGACCGGGCAGCTGACTTGTAGTGCAGTGGAACCTCAGTGGTGCTCAGGGTCCTCTTGGCATGAGTATTCTGAGGAGACCTTATGGGGAATGAGGATATAGCCTTGGTTCTCAAAGATGTTTTATCAAATGCTGGCATGTGATAGTATGTGGTGTACAGGAAACAAGGATGTGGGCGGTGTGGACACCCTCTCCCCTAACCATGGCTAGGACCAAGGGCACAGGACCTGACAGCCTCACACCAAGGCTACTGCTTCTTTAAGCTGCCCCTCCTTGACACCACCATAACCCCTCCCACACCGCACACCCCAGGTATTCCTCAGTCTCTGTATAGTAACCCTTGGGCACTCATCAGGGGGAGGTGTGTGAGATGGAGTGGAGCACCAGGTGAGAGAGGCCTTGACAGAGGCTGAGGGAGAGGGGTGAGACCTTGGGCCTGTACCAGGGCTCCAGCTCCGGGTGGCCAGGCAGGTGTGACATAGCAGGGCATATGAAGGCTACCCGGGAAGCTCTGTCCCCTGCTGTCATTTCCTTTCCAGCCAGAGAACAATGGCTTTAAAAACAAGTGCAGCCCCTCCACATTCCAGCACATAATACCTTCTCCAGGGCTGAGCGAATGGAAAGCCAGACCGAGGGAAGGCCCCAGCTCCCTTCCGCTGGTCTCAGAGTCTAGGGGGGCTGCCATCGTAGCGCCCTCAAGGACGTGGGGCTTGACGGCCCTCCCTGGCACTTTGTCCCCTCCGCTTTTCCTTCCAGACCCTCTGCTCGGTCTGCGGCCTGGAGAATCTCCGAGGGATGAGGACGTTACAGAGTGGTGGTACGCCCTTGCTGCTTTTGTGGCCCAACGTGCACAACGCCTAGGAGCAGGACCGGTGCTGAGCCCTTGCCCTCTCCCTCCCACAGGGCCCGACGAGTGATCCGACCAGCAAGCGACCTGCCGCATGGAACGGCTGCAGAAGGTGTGCAAGGGCTGCACCACTGCAGGGGCAGCTGGGGGCCGGGAGCAGAGGGTGAGGGGTTTCCACACTCGCGGAGGCATCAGAGCCGGAGTCGAGGGTGCCACCTGGCGGTTGCCCACAGCTCAGCACCCCGGAACCCCAGTACCAGAGGGAAGATCTCCCTGCCCAGTCACCCCCACCCCTCGCCTCCAGCCCGTGTCCTCAAGCTGCAGAAGGGCCCCTGCCCCACCACACACACACGCCTCACACCCACGCACATACCCACTCGCCTTCTCACTCTCCCCAGCAACCACTTACCTCCCCAGGGAGCGTGAGCTCCTCCCGAGGCTCCAGTGTTCCAGGCTCTCCCTCCAGCATCGTGGTGAGTACCCCAGCACCCCCTGACCCCAGCACTCCCAGCCCGGGAGGAGGGAGGAGCAGGGGACAAGTATGCTGGGTAGTTTTCACTGAGCCAGTAGCTGAAGATCTTTCTATGTACGGTTTTACATTAGGATCTTAACACGAGGAAGGAATGAGAACTCCAAAATCCAGAGAAGGGTTCTCACAGTCACATTCTACTAGTATGGTCTTTTTTGTTATCAGAATCACTTGGGTGAAAGACTGTCATTTTTTTTTTAATTGACAGTCTAAATCTTGAAAGCAAAATACTGGTATTATTAACAAGAGTTGTCATCTAAAATGGCTGCTCATTTTCTTCTTAATAACTTATAAGTCTAGCTTTTAAAACCAGGATTCTGTATGAAGCTTTCAGCACATCTATTCCATTAACATCATTGTCCTTCAGGCTAAGATGGACAATCAGGTACTGGGCTACAAGGACCTGGCTGCCATCCCCAAGGACAAGGCCATCCTGGACATTGAGCGACCGGACCTCATGATCTACGAGCCACATTTCACCTATTCCCTCCTGGAACACGTGGAACTGCCCAGAAGCCGGGAGGTAAGGGAGCAATGGAAAGGCCCCATTGGATAGCATTTAGAGGCTGAATTCCAGCCAGCCACACTGGGTGGTGGACAGAAACACTCCCAGGCTTTATTTCCTGGAGGCCAGACTCAGTCAAACCAGAAACGGAACTCTGCACAGGAATCAGCTAGCCAGTCGACCAACCGGGGCTCTGTGGAGGGTGGGCAGAGAGGCGCTCAGGGCTGTGTGGCTCTGAAGGAAGTTTGCAGGGACTGTGTTGTTTGAATGGCAGGAGCAGAGAGGGCATGAGGGTGTGTAGGGATAAATGCCCGGGCTATTAACTGAAGGGGGGGGGCGGACGGTGGCTGTCTGAATCCACCAACTACACTGGAGGGGAAAGATGGAGCAGTTGGCTTCCAGGGAGATTTCTACAGCCTTGGGAGCCCTAAGCTAAGGGGCAATTCTACTCTGCCCTGTAAGGTGCAGCTGGTAGACTCACCCATTAGAAAATCAACTATAAATCAAATTACATAATCATACTGGTGTGAGTTGGGTATATAGGGAAAGGATGGGAGTAGACAGAAGAAGATTTACAGGGGGGAAAAAATCCAAGACAACTGAAGTTGTAGGCTGAAAGTCGGAGCTGAGTAACCTGTGTGACCTTGGTCTCATTTACTCCTCCTGTCAAATAAAGATGATACCTCTCTATACCCACTTCACAGAGCAGTCAGGATGTGTGAGTTGATGCACGTAGGGGAGTTTAGTAAACTGCCTTCAAGGAAGGGTAATTGTCATGACTAGGACAGTGAGATGGGGCCGGAAAGTGGGGACACTTAAATAAGTACTGGCCCCCATCCTTGAATCTTTGTTAGTTTTGCCCTGTCTCTGGTAGTCTGGTGGTAAGAAGGTGAACTACAGTCCCAAAGGTGTGTGGTTTGAATCCACCGGCTGTTCTGCGGGAGAAGGATGGGCAGTTTCCTCCCATTTGGTTTACAGCCTCTGAAACCCCACTGGGCTGTCAGCTGAGTCTTTTCTGTCTTGACAGTACACAATGCCATTAGTTCTTAAGCTCTGAGGACAGGGCAGTAGCTACTCTGTAATGAGTACAACGCAGCAAGCACATCGCTTCAAGATCTGCATGCTTCTTCCTGATTTGTAGAGGAAAATGATTTAGAACTTTGTCCAGGAGAATACTAAGAAGAACAGAAGCCCACACTCAACTGGCAAAGATCCACAAGAGAAGAGATGGCTCAGAGGATGGCCAGGAAAGGGTGTGGAGTGGGTGAGGGATGCAGTGACTCTCCAGGGCTCTAGGGATTGAGAGTTTAATCCTACCCCTGTGCTCTGACCAACCTCCTCTCCATTCACAGCGCTCTCTGTCACCCAAATCCACATCCCCCCCACCATCCCCAGAGGTGAGTGTGCCCCACACTTGAAACTTGCCCAACTCTGCTCTCACGGGGGCCCCACTTCCAACCCTCAGAAGTCCAGACAGCTCTGTACAGCCCGGGGAATGTGACAGCATCAGAAGACAGAGGACTTTTTAGACCAGGGTGTTGGTTGGACATCTTCCTGTCCACTGGCCAGCTCTGTATCTGATCTAGAACGTCATTTAATCTTTTCTTCCTGGAGCCAGCACTATCAGCAGGTCAAGTCTTTGAATACCCTCTCTCTGTTCTGGGGTTGTGGGGATGCAAGCTTCTAGCATGGAAGGCCAGAGTTTGGTAGAGCAAGATGGAGTAGTGAATACGTGGCCTGGGAAGGTGGAGTAGGAGCTATGTGAGCTGCAATGAACCACACTTCTCCTCTAAAGGTGTGGGCAGAGAGCCGGCCTCCTGGAATCATCTCTCAGACTTCAACTCCGAGAACCACAGGGACCCCCCGGACCCCCCTGCCCCATTTCCACCACCCTGGTAGGTTTTATTGTCAACACTGGGTGCATACTTTCCTTCAGACATTTTTTTCCCCTTCCCTAAGGTCCTTACTATCAGTCCTTCAGTCCTTATGATATGTGTCCACACCTGGCTGGGCCCTGTGATTCCAGGACCCTTGTTGTTTCATCCTTCCTACCAACTAGAAAAGTGAAGGGAATCCCAGCTCCCTGAGGAACGACCTAGGAATATTGATTTCTTCTTGTGGCTCTTGGCAGGAGTTAGGAAATCTCTACCTTCTCCCTTTTTATTTGTCTCTGTTCTCTTCACCCACCCTAATTTTCTCCATTACCAGTATTTCCTCCTTCTAATTCCCTCTTGTTCCCTCAACACAGAGACTTCTCGCCCAGATTCCAACATCTACAAGAAACCACCCATTTACAAGCAGAGAGGTGAGGGTTTCCCTGACTGGCCCACCACATGCTGGGAGGCTGGGAGGCCAAGGGTGTACAGCTAGGGAAAAGAACTGTTGAAGATAATACCCAGTGGCTGCCCTGTGCTCTTCTTTGTATATGGCTTTTCCAGCCACTCTCACAGGTGTAGAGGGAGAAGAGAGGGAGGTGGGGGCTGAGGACTGAAGAAGAGTTGGCCTCAAGTTCATCCTGGCTGACTCTGTGTCCTCCATTTGCAGAGTCTGTGGGAGGTAGCCCTCAAAGCAAACATCTCATTGAAGACCTCATCATCGAATCATCCAAGTTCCCTGCAGCCCAGCCCCCTGATCCTAACCAGCCGGCCAAGATCGAAACCGACTACTGGCCATGCCCCCCATCGCTGGCCGTTGTGGGTAAAGATTGTGGGGAAGTAGGGGGAAGGGGAGGCGCTAAGACACTGCATTGCTGACTATTCCCTCAAAGCCTCCATGAATGAGCTCCCACCCAGCTTTATTTTCATCACCTTCATGAAACTCCAAGATCTCTTAGAAAGCACACTCTCCCGGCATTCTTATAGGCTTCTTTAGAAGACATTTATTAAACTTCTACTATGTACTAAGCTCTGGGCTGGGAACTCTGGGAAAGAGAAATGAGACAAGGTGTTGGTCCCCAGTAAATTTAACGTCTGTGTTGCCTACTCACTTTCACTGCAAGGCTAGGAGAGTTAAAAATAATACCCAACCTGTGTGTGAAGCCAGCGCTTGATACCCGTTAAGAGACTGACCATTGCCCACTCTGTGTTAGAGACGGAATGGAGGAAACGGAAGGCATCTCGGAAAGGCGCAGAGGAAGAGGAGGAAGAGGAAGATGATGACTCAGGAGAGGAGATGAAGGCTTTCAGGGAGCGTCAGAAAGAAGAACTCAGTAAGGTAGCATCTCCCAACCTGCCACCCAATCTGTATCAAAATGGTTCCATAATTAAGCCAAAAAAACTTTATTCCAGAAAAATATCCTTATTAAAACTTGTGAGATTGTTGTCATTGTTAGGTGCCACTGAGTCAACAATGACTCACAGCAATCCCATCAACAACAGACCTAAGCCTTTCCCTAGCCATGCCATCCTCAGGGGCTCTGCAATGCTCAAGCTCATTGTCAGTCACTTTGTGAGTCTATCTCATTGAGGATCTTTCTCTTTTTTCACTGACCCTCCACCTTTCCCAACAAGATGTCTTTTTCTTGGGACTAGCCCCTCCTCACAACATGTCCAAAGTATGTAAGACAAAGTTTCACCATCCTTGCCTCTCCAGAGCACCCAGGTCTTTCTCAAAGACAGATTTGTCTGCACTTTTGGCAGTCCATGGGATATTCAGTACTCTTTGACAACAGAATTCATAGGCATTGTTTCTTCTTTGGTCATTTTTATTCCTTGTGCAACTCTCAGATGCATAGGAACCAACTGAAAATAAAAATACCAAGGCATAGATCAGGCACAACTTGGTCTTTAAATTGACCTCCTTTCTCTTAAGCACTTCAGAAAGGTCCTTGACAGCAGATTTTCCCAATGCACAGTGTCTTCTGATTTCTTGCCTACTGTTACCCTGGGTACTGATTGTGGATCTAATTAAAATGAAATAATTGACAACTTCAATATTTTCTTCATTTAATCATGTTGCATGTTGGTCCAGTGGTGAGGATTTGTGTTTTCTTAATGTTGAGATCTAATTCTTATTGAAAGTTGTAGTCTTTGATCTTCTTCAGTAAGTGCTTCAAGTCTTCTTTACTTTCTATTAGCAAGGTTATGTTATCTACATTACACAGGTTGCTGGTGAGTCTTCTTCCAGTCTCCCTCATACTACCTGACTTGTATGATTTGCTCTACATTCAAATGGGATGAACATGGAGAAAGGATACAACCCTGATGTCCCGCTCTCCCTTGTTCTGTTCAGATGACTGCTTCTTGTTCTAGTATAGGTTTCTCATGAGCAGTTAAGTGCTTTGAGATTCCCATTCTTCTCTTTGTTAGCCATAATTTGTTACACACAATCCAGTCAGGAATCTTTGCATAGTCAGTAAAACACAAGTAAACGTCTTACTTCTGCTGTCAGCCAAGATCCATCTGACATCAGCAATGATATTCCTCATTCCACAGCTTCTTCTGAATCCAGCCTGAATTTCAAGAAACTCTTGTTAATGTACTTTTTAAAAAAAATTATATTGGTTTTTTTAACAATTTGTTTACATTGTGTTTCACACTATCCTTCATTCCTTGTTAATGTACTTTTCCAATCCTGTTTTAATACTCTTCATAAGCAAGAGAAGAAACCGGAAGAGAGGAAGAACCTGCATCAAAACAACAGAAAACAGAAAATGGATTAATTAGCTTTTAATCTACTTTTGTCTTTATTTTTTT